ACCCTATCTCTATTGGATTTGCTTGTGAGGCAGGAAGATTGCTCTGAATTTGAGGACAGCCTGGTCTACATAGCAAATTCCAGGCAAACCATAGCTGTTTCCAAAAGGTAGACGGGGCTAGGCTAATCAGTGGTTTAGTATATGAAGTGTGTAAGGACTGGAGTTTGGAGCCTCAGAACTAGAGTAAACACTGGGCAAGTGTGGCAGTTTACCTGTAATCCCAATGAGTATGAGGCGGAAAGGACATTTCTGGGGGAAGCTGACTAGCTAGATAAATGGAATTGGCAAGCTCTGGATACTGTTGAGAAACCTTACTTCAGTGAACAAAGTGGAAAAAGATCCCAGAGTAATCCTCTGTCCTCCATACATATGGTGTGCAAACACATGAACAGAACTACAGAATATCAGAAAATAAAGTGGATGTCTTCTGAGGAACAGCACCCAAGGACATCCTCTGGCGCACACACACACACACACACACACAGGACATTCCACATCTGACCTTGTGTGGTAGGTCACAGGACAAAGCAGGTTACACAAAGACCCTCAAAATCAGGAAATTAAAATAAAGGTATGGCTTGGCGGTGGTGGTTCACGCCTTTAATCCCATGGCTCAGGTGGATGAGACAGGCAGATCTCTTGATTTTGAGGCTATCCTGGTCTACAGAGTAAGTTACAGGACAGCCAGGGAGGGCTACACAGAGAAACCCTGTCTCAGGAAAAAAGGAAACAAAACAGTAAAGATGTGGGCTGGTGAGACTCCCAGGTTTCTAATGTGCTTATCTAGAGCCTGAAGACCTATCTGTTCTGGGCCCATGTGGTAGGCAGGAGAACCTATCCCACAAGTTGTCCTCTCCCTACACATGGTACACAAAGGCTCAAATGGGGTAATTAATTTTTTTTTTGCCAGGAGGTGGTAGCACACGGCTTTAATCTCAGCACCCAGGAGGCAGAGGCAGGCAGATCTCTGAGTTTGAGACCAACCTGGTCTTCAGAGTAAATTCCAGGACAGCCAAAGCTACACAGCTACAAAGCTGTCTCAAAAATAAAAACATAATAAATTTTTTGAAATAGTGTAAAATGTATGTGAATTGTACCTGAGACACTGGTGAATTTCTCACTGGACTTAGGGATGCTCCCTCTCCCCCAATGTCTATTTATGTGGTATTCCCAAATCAAGGCAACTCAAGAGTCAGAAACACTCCTGGTTCCAGGCACTTGTGTCAAAGGCACTCAGCCACATGAATTTTCTCTAGTATTAGGTGGGCAGTCAGGAGTTTGTGCTGACACATTCCCTTTTCTTAAATCTCCTGTTCATGTCTGTCTCTTTCAGACATTAGTCAATGCTGGCTTTTTACTTGGTTTTGGATTTTTTTTGAGACAAGTCACCATGTAACCCATACTGACTATGTAGCTGAGACACCTCTGAATGTTTCTTTACCACCTGAGTGCTAGGGTCTCAGGCATTCACCATCACACCCATTTTACATAGTATTGAAGAAGGAAGCCAGCCTAAGTCCCAAGGCATGCTTTCTCCTATGAGAAAGACCAAGACCTTAGCACCTTGTCTGTCTTGTCTTTCCCATTTTGAGCACAACACATAGTCTTTTCACAGAACCCATTCTTGGAGCCCAGGTTCACAGCTGGCCCCTGGGACAGGGCACTCATCTGCTTTGGCTTCAGCTGTGCTACCCACTGAAGCCCCTGCTTCAGGGGAAGGTTAGCAAACACCAACACCTCACCCCCCATGCTTTGCCCCTTTAATTTTAGGATGTGGGACCTCGACGGCTTTTCTCCCACCCTCGGGAGCCAGCCCTAGGGCCTCATGGACCCAGCCGACATAAGGTAAGAGCCAAGACACCATGTTCTGCAGCCTAAATATATAGTACATAAAGTGGATATGATAGTCAGCATTAGCTGTGTAACAAGAAATACCATTCCTTCATTACTGAACTCCACAAACTTTTTTCTTTTCTTTGGTTTTTCGAGACAGGATTTCTCTGTATAACAGCCCTGGCTGTCCTGGAACTCAATTTGTAGACCAGGCTGGCCTAGGACTCAGAGATCCGCCTGCCTCTGCCTCCCAAGTGCCGGGATGAAAGGCATGAGCCACCACCACCACCTGCTTCCACAAATTTTTGAGGCAATCTTGCTGTGTGTCCAATTCAGATTTCTAGGCTAAAGCATTTATTTCTCACCCTAGGAGTAGTGGGTGGTTTCCTGGGAGCTCACCGGGGACTCAATTCCTTGACCATACACACAGGTAGTCAATGGTCTTTTGAAGTGAAGGTTGCTGGGCTCAGGGTGAGCCACACAGTTCATCCTTTTTTGTTCCATCCTGAGTTTGTGGGTCCTACAGTCCCCAGAAGAGCAACATGACCAAGTCATGGTGTGTGTGAGGGGCAGGTTTCTACCATTATCTTCCTCACTGGGCTGGGCTTTTCTCTGCAGATGTCCCCCCCACCTAGCAGCTTCAATGAGCCTCGGAGTGGTGGAGGCAGTGGGGGACCCCTCTCTCATTTTTATTCCGGTTCACCCACCTCTTACTTCACCAGTGGCCTACAGGCTGGCCTCAAGCAGAGCCACCTCAACAAGGTGAGGAGCCTGCCCCACCAGTAAAGACGGGGCCCTGTGTACCCATGTATGTCTATGCCTCAGATATGTCTCCCTGCAGTGTGTGTGGAGCCTAACACTGTTCAGCTTCCCCTCATCTCAAACTCACCTAAGATGTGGGTTGTCTTATCCCCAAAGATAGGTGAGAAAGGGTTCCATTACCAGGCCTTGTGGCAGGCCCTGGGTGGCAGGTACAAGGCTAGAAGTGGACTCTCAGGATTTCTTCCAGGGGTGACACCCCACCTCTTTGATTTCCTCAGGCAGTTGGCTCCTCCCCAATGGGCTCCAGTGAAGGGCTCCTGGGCCTTGGCCCTGGGCCCAATGGCCACAGCCACCTGCTAAAGGTACGGGCAGGGGGAAGGGAAGGGAGGCACAGGGCTGGGGAGGAGCCCTGGGCCCTGGAAGGCCCCTGAACCGGCCTTTCCTGCCATCTGTCTCTAGACCCCACTGGGCGGCCAGAAACGCAGTTTTTCCCACCTGCTCCCTTCGCCTGAGCCCAGCCCAGAGGGCAGCTACGTGGGCCAACACTCCCAGGGCCTCGGTGGCCACTACGCAGACTCCTACCTGAAGCGGAAGAGGATTTTCTAAGGCATCGGCACCAGAGATGCTCCAAGGGCCTGCACCAAATTGCTTTTGGGTTTTTTCTGGTATTTGTGTTTTGTGGGATTTTATTTTTATTATTATTTTTTTAATATCCGTTTTTTGGGTAATAGAGAAATCTCTGAAAAAGACTTTGCTGACCAACCAGCCGGAGCTCAAAGAATGTGGGGGTGTCTGGGGCCACACCTGTGGGCTTGCTCCTGGAGCCAAAACCCTGCAGCCTTAAGAGAGAGGGGCCCGGCCTGCTCTCTTCCCCTCCCCAACTCCTAGCCTCCTGTGCCCAGCTCTCCAGGCCTCCTCGCCACTCCTGTGTTCTGGCCTTTTGAGTGCCTTTGGAGGTGTCCCTGACCTGTGAGGATCAGGGACAGTCCCCTTTTTTAAACTTACAATTGACTTTGATTTCCTTTTCTAATTTTTATTTTTTAAAACATCCAGGATGATGACCACATCCATCCCCATCCCCACCCCAGAAAAGCCTCAACTTTGATTCCTTCAGGGTCTGGTCTACCCGGATCTCCATTCTACACTTCGGTTTCCAACAGCTTAGCCCTATTTTCCCAGTCACCTGCTGCAGTTATAGCTGTCTCATAACCCCCTTCCCTGCCTGCCTACTCGGCCAGTACCCCAATCCCAGGGCCTCCAGCCCCTCCCTGCCATAGCCTTCTTGCCTTCTGATGCCTTAAAGTTGGGCCACAGGTCCCAGTGGGTCAGAGCTTCTCAGATGCCGAGCTCCGGAAGCTCGACTCAGGACCAAAGAGCTCTGACCTAGAGATCATCCTTTCTCCAGGATTGTGTGCCCTGTGGACAGAAGGCCAAAGCCTTGGTCTTGGCAAACCACCCCTTAGCCCAAAGCCTGGGTGCAGAAACCACTGTTCTCTGCTGACTTCAATAGTCTTTGCTACTGTCTGTGAAAGCTGACCATTGTATCCAGGTCACTGGGCCTCTAACCACGTCACTCCTAACCCAGATCACCACCGTCCCTAGGCCAGACCACTGGAGCTGGCCTCTGCCCACACAAACTACAGCTTGCCTGCTTGAGAGGACTGGGACTCTTGCCCCTGGCCAGCTGTGCCACCAGCCTCCCTCCCCAAACCCGATGTTCCAAACCTACTCCATGGAGATGTCCCCTCCCTTTCCTCCCACACAGACCTTTGCTGAATTAAAGTTTGTAAGTAAACGGTTTAAAAAAATATATATATATCAGAGCTGGCTGGTTCTTGAGATAAACCATGGGCCCAGCAAGATAGCTCAGTATTACAGTAAGGACACTTAACCACCAAGCCTGACAACCTGAATTTTATCCCTGGGGCCCAAATTATAGGAAAGAACTGACTCCCATAAGTTTTCACACACACAACCCCTAAGATTGTAGTTGGGCATGGTGGCACATGGGAGGCAGAGAGAAGAGAATCTTGAGTTCCTGGCTAGCCTGGTCTATATAGCAAATTCTACAACGTTTCAGTCTATATGAGAGAGCCTGTCTCAAATTGCTTAAAGCCTGGGCATGGTGGTCTATAACCCTTAATTCCAGCAGAGGCAAGTGGTTCTGACTTCAAGGCTAGTTTGGTCATGTTGTATCTGCAGTTCCCAATGTTCACACAGCCCTCTAACTCTTCTGGGCTTCACAGGCACCCATTTGGTGCTCACGCAAACAAGTAGAACACATACAGTAAGACCCAAAGCGAGGGAGGGTGTGTGCAACCATGGGACCATGCCGGAAGTCAAGCTGGATCCTGGTACATCACCTCTGACCTCATACTGCATTCAAACACTGCGATTACAGTCGCAGCCTACGCACTGGGTATACTCGGCCTTCCGGTCACGTGGCCTAACATGGCCGCCTCCATGGCCCGCGGCGTGAGTGCCCGGGTCCTGTTGCGGGCCGCCGGAGGATCTTGGGGTACCTGGGCTGGACATGTGGCAGTGGCGTCCAGGAGTCTTGTGACGACAGGTACCTGGGACCGGGTTGGTTTGCGCCTGACAGCGAGGCTGCAGCCGCTCACTCATCGTGTTTTTCAGGAGAGCGGCGCGCAGGCGAGGACGAGGCAGACGGCCCGGAGCTGCCCCGGGACGCGTGAGTGCCCGCCACGCCACGCCCTGCCCCGCCCTGCCACTCGGCCGCTAGCTGGCCTCGGCTCACAGCGCCTGCACCCTGTCTGTCCCCAGGGTCAACGTGGTCTTCGTGGACCGCTCTGGTCGGCGGATCCCTGTGAGGGGCAGAGTCGGGGACAATGTACTTCACCTGGCCCAGCGCCACGGGGTGGACCTGGAAGGTAGGAAATTGGGATGACCCCTGCCACTCTTTTTTATTCCTTTTTGTATTTTTGAGACAGGGCCTCAAATAGCCCAGGCTGTCCTCGAACTTACTATCAGAGGTTGGCTTGGAACTTCTGACCTTCCTGTCTCCTGAGTGCTGGTGTTAGTTATGCACCACCATAACACCATACCCACTAGTTTTGTTAGTGTGGTATGAGTGGTTCGGTAATCAGGTCCTCATGCTTTAACTCAGGCTGTCCATAAACAAGTGTGTAATCCAGGCTATCCTGCAACCCATTATAGTGATCCTCCTGCCTCCACTTTCTGAGTACTGGGACTAGAAGCATGTGCTACCACACCACCATATTAGGGATGGGGGACTGAGATAGACTACATGTAACAAGGCTAGGCTGAAACCCACTGTAGTGATTGATCCTCCTGCCTCTGCCTCTTAGGTGCTGAGAAGGTTAAAACAGTCTCCATAATTTAGCCTTAAATCCATTGGATGACCCTCCTGCCTCAGAGTTCTCAGTTCTGGGGTTACAGTCTGAGCTGGTAGTCTAGCTCCTACACAAACCTGCCAATTCCCTGAGACCACATAAAGGTAGGAGAGAAGCTGACCACCACAGGGATGAGGCAGGCACATGCACGTTGTAACAGTAATAATACATTTTAAAGTAAAGAAAATAATAGAACTGGAAAGGTTGCTCAGTGCTGAAGAATGCAGATGGCTCTTGCAGAAGACCTGTTCTGTTCCTTCCACCCACTCGATGCCAGACAGTTCACAGCCTGTAACAAAAGTCATCACCTGACTTCCCTGCACACTTCAATCTCATGTCTAACACACACAGACATACAAACAAACACTTAAAATTAAAAATGTAACACTAAACTAAGAGTTAGTCTTGGAGCAGCCCTTACTGAACTTTACTAGAGGCTACTAAAATATGCATTCTGTTGTAGCTTGTGGATTCTTACTATTGATACCTGCACTGGGAGAGGTGGTTTTGAGACGGTTTCTGTGCAGCTCAGACTGAGCTCTGCCCTCCCAGGGCTGGAACCATAGGTGTGGCTCTGCCCCTCCACTGTGCTTCAGGCTGCAGAGCTCAGAACTATCCCAGCCCTTTGTACTCTACCACAAGTGCTTTCCCAGTACATTGCTGAGCTCTTTCTTTAGAACTGACTGACTGGCATTTTTTCACCCTGTCCCACAGTGAGTGAGCTTCATTTATATACCTGGGCCTGTGATGATCCTCAGTGTATGAGTGCCAGTTCCTTGTGATAGCTTTATGAATAGAGGAGGCAATAATTCCACCTTGCAGAGAAGAAAACTACACAATGTGATGGTAGGTGGGGTTCAGAAGCAAGAACACTGGGCATTTTAGTCCTCCCACGCTGCTCTTACAATTATCAATGGATATTTTCTTTACTGAATTTAGTGTGCATTCGTATGCCTCTGTAGAGGTTAAAGAACAACTTGAGGGACTCAGTTCGCTCCTGCCATATTGTTTTGCTAGGGATTGAACTCAGGTCTTTAGGCTTAGTGGCAATCCCTTTACCCAATGAGTGCATTGTAGGCAAGCCAAGGATTTTTGGTGAGACCCTGTCTTTAAAAAAAAAAAAAAAAGTTCAGTGTAGTGTCACGCATGCCTTTAATCTCAGAACTCAGGAGGCAGAGGCAGGCAGATCTCTGAGTTCAGGACCAGCCTCCAGCCTGGTCTTCATATTGAGTGCCAGGACAGCCAGAGAGAGCTACATAGTGAGACCCTGTCTCAAAAAAAAAAAAAAAAAAAAAAAAAAAAAAAACAAGCAAACAAAAAAAAAAAAAACTTTGCCAGGTGGGAGGCAGAGGCAGGCAGATCTCTGTGACTTCAAGGCCAGCCTGGTCTACAGAGTGAGTTCCAGGACAGCTAGGGCTACACAGAGAAACCCTGTCTAGAAAAACAAAACGAAAAGGATAATGTCTGCTTAGATTCATACCCAATCTGGGTAACTTAGCAAGAGTCCCTGTCTCAAAAATAATGAAATTATGAAGAAAAAAATATGTCTCAAAAAATGAGAGTCCTTGAGTAACAAAGTGACAAGGCTTCTGTCATATCACACTAGCCTGAGCCTAAGAGGAACTATAAGCCCAGGAATAAAGAGACTATAGGTTTCATTGACAGAATGGTTAGAAGGATCTGATGGGTTAATGGGAGAGGGGCCTGACTAAAACTTTTAGTCTAAAGCTGGAAGATGGGGCTGAGCATGGTGGCTCACATGTCTGATACCAACACGTAGCTGGAGAGGCAGGTGGATCTCTGTGCTTTGAGGCCAGGTTGGTCTACACAGCGAGTTCCAGAACAGCCAGGTGGTAAGACTTCTTTCTCAAACAAAACCCAGTAAAATTCCCTAGAGGTGTTGGGAAAGGAACTGTGAGTCCAGCAGTCTCAAAGCAAGCAGGCCGTGTCTCTGGTGCCTCACTAGCTGTGTGAGTTCAAAGCCCATTTCTGAGCCTTTTGTCTCTTCTCTATAAAAGGGTGATTTAGCATGCTCCCAGCAGCTTGCTGTGAGGATGAACATGTTTAATACTCGGTAGATAGGAGGGTAGATCAGCAGCCAACCTTAACATTAGAAGGTAGCTGTAGATTAGCTGGGTGATGGTGGCCATCCCTTTAGTCCCTGCTGCTTCAGAAGCTGAGCACCAGGGCTACCTGAGTCTAGGAGTTCAAAACCAACCTAGGCAACATAGACCCACTGTAAACAGAACAAGTGAGACCTGGTGGCTCAGGCCTGTGGGAAGCCAAACCAGGAGAATGGAAAGTTCAGGATCTGGGCTGATACGATGGCTTATTGGTTAAAGGGCACTTGCCACCAAGCCTTATGACCTGAATGCATTCCCAGAACTGACTTGGCAAGAGAAGCAACTCAAGAGTCCTCTGACCTTCACATGTGTCCTGTGATGGTGTGCACATTCCCACAATTCACATAATACATAAATGAATGTTTAAAAAGCCTTCAAGAGCTGGGCATGGTGGTGCACGCCTTTAGTCTAAGCACTTGGGAGGCAGAGGCAGGCAGATCTCTTGACTTTGAGGCCAGCCTGGTGTACAGGGTGAGTTCCAGGACAGCCAAGGCTACAACAGAGTAAAAACAAAGCCTCAAAAAAACAAAACAAAATTTTGTCCCCCAAAAAAGAAGGTTCAGTGCCTATTTAGATTCAAACCAAGCCTAGATAACGTACCAGGAGTCTCTGTCTCAAAAATGACAAATTTGAGAGGATGAGGATGGGTTCGCTGGGTCAGGGCACTTGAACTGATTTCAGTCCTCAGGACCTGGGGAAGATGTGTGGAGAGCACCAGCTCTACAGAGCTGCCTTTTGACTTACATATGGATGCATGGCAAACCCGTTCCCCTAAGCAGGCATAATCATAACAAAATGTATTTAGAAAAGGTTTTTTAAAAGACTGGGTTGTAACAGTGTGGATTAGAGTCAATCCCTAATACTTTTTTTCCCAAGACAGGGTTTCTCTGTGTAGCCCTAGCTGTCCTGGAATTGCGCTGTAGACCAGACTGGCCTTGAACTCAGATAAATCCACCCTAGCGCTAAGATTAAAGGTGTACACCACCTGGCCTGATACCCTTTTTTTTTCCTTTCCTTTTTTTTTTTTTTTTTTTTTTTTTTTTTTTTTTAAGTTTCATGGTGATAAATGCCATAAAAAACGTGAAGAAAGGAAAGGGGGAATTGGGTTGAAGCCTTGAATAAATGCAGCTAGGCAAAGTAAAGAACATTCTAGGCCATGGGTACAGGAGTACAAAGGTCCTGAGGTGGGAGTGAAGTTCATGTAGTGAGAGTCCCCGTAGGACTACACATAATGATTCACAATTGTCATCATATCATTTGGGAGGTAGTGGCAAGAGGGTCCCAGGTCAGCCTTGACTACATAGTGAGTATAAGACTAGCCTGGGCTACATGAGACTCTCAAACAAACAACAAAAAGCCTACAGCTCAACTCTGAAAAGGATGGGGCTAAGGAGCTGAGGTGGGGCTTGCTCCTCACTAAGGCTATCCCTTTCCCTTCCTGTCCGCAGGGGCCTGCGAAGCCTCCCTGGCATGTTCCACCTGCCATGTGTATGTGAGTGAGGCCCACTTGGATCTCCTGCCTCCTCCTGAGGAGAGGTGAGTGGGCAGCCCCCAGCAACATCGCAGGCATCTGCCTCCCTGTACCTGGCTCTTCTACCCACCTCCAGCTAGCTGCCATAGGTCCCACATCACCCTGACTCTGCCCTTTGTCCCAGGGAGGATGACATGTTGGACATGGCCCCGCTGCTTCAGGAGAACTCAAGACTGGGCTGCCAGATTGTGCTGACCCCTGAGCTGGAAGGAGTCGAGTTTGCTCTTCCCAAGGTCACCAGGAACTTCTACGTGGATGGCCACGTCCCCAAGCCCCACTGAGATGAGACCGCTGCACCAAGGTCACTGAACTGAAAAAGAAAAACCATGCTTCTGCCCCAGAGCACAGACTGGTCGGGAAATAGAAGTTGGGAGCACAGTGTGAGACCAATGCCAATGCTGGGGACAGCCAGTGTCTGGGCCCTGAGGGGGATGGGTCTCCATCTTGGGTGTGTCGGTCCACCAGGGAGAATCGAACTATAAATTAGGGATGGACTCACACCAGAGCTGCAATAAAAAGTCATACACATATGCGGCATGTTTTGTATCCTTGTTGGGGGGGGAGCTGTTTGTCCAGCTCCAAATGCAGGGGCCTTGGGTGTGCTCCCTTGACAGCACCTGCCACTTCGTCCTTCCTGGGACGCCCCTGCGTGGCCAGGCTCCGCCCCAGCCACAGAGAAGGGATCCACGGCGTTACTTGACCTTCAAGGCTGTACTAAGTGATCAGAAGATAACAAAGAGAGGGTCACCCAGCGGGACCTTCCTGATCACGAGCCGCACAGCTGAGGCTCCTAGCAGCCACTGCAAAAAGTGCTCCCAGGTGCAAACAGCGCCCCCACGTGACTCTGCGCCGGCCGGCCGGCCAGCCGGCTCCGCCCAGGTGGCGCCCATCGTCATCACTCTCACCTCCCTCATCCTCGGGTTTATCCCTAGGGGGAGCGGGGCAGAGAGATTTTGCTGCTAGGCCTAGAGTGGGCATGGAGGCAGCACCAGCCCGTGACTTGACACGCCGCCGGCAGGAACTTCTGGCGCCACCTTGTCTGGACACCGAGTCGCTCCGTAAGAGCCGACCCCCCGTGCGGGAGCCTGGAGCCTTGAGATGCCTCACTCCAAATGGCAGGTGCGTGGGGCAAGACTCCTCCACTGTCCATCCCATCTAATGCCTTACCAGGCCCGGAGATTGAGGGGGTCACGATCCCTGGCTTCTGAGGCTGCCCCCTCTTAGTTATTGGCACAGAACAAGTTTCAGCCCCTACACACAAAAGGGACAGGTGATTTCCATCCCACCCACCCTGCTTTGGTTTGTGACCCAAGGAGGTGCAAATGAAGGGTCATTCGTGTTGTGATGAGGGTAACCTACTAACAACAGTTGATGGGGTGATTGACTGACTAATGGTTGCTGCTGACAGAGGCCTGCATTGGACAGATTGCCTAGGGTGGGTTCCTGCTTTGTTAGTGGAGGGGGGTGACTGATGGGAGCTGATAGCCAGCCACAGATTCGGGATTGTCTCTGCTAACAATTATTTTGCAACTTTTAAACCTAATAACCCAAGATTTTGGCCTCAGGTGGAACACTAGGTTACCAAAGGAGAGGCACGAACTGGTTGATACTCCACCCTCTCCATACCTATCAAATCCAAGCCCCCAGGAAAGGGGTGGCCACACCTTACTGCTTCTTATCCCTCAGATCCCTGTGGCCTGTGTGCCAGGACTCGGGCAGCACAGCATTGCCTTTTCTCCAAGAGAAAGAAAAGGGGCCACTGGGGTCCCCTTCACCAGCCACTCAGGCCCTGGGGCCGTGCTGGGAGCTGATGGTCATAGGGATGTCAGACCCCCTAAGTATGGCCAGGAGTCCCAGGAGCACACAGTGCCCCAACCCGGCACCTTCCAGTGCTGCTTCCCCAGCCTCACTCCAGAGAAGACCACGGAAGCAACCGAACCCCCGAAAAGGCATTGAGAAAGTGGACCCCATGTTCAAGGGAGTGACTTTGGAGTTTCAGATACAGCCGGATTCTAGCCTCCAGATTGTACCCACCTACAGGTAGGAACTCTTAAGCCATGATAATGTATTCCTAAATATTATAACGGTACATTTATAGGCCAGGGCTGATAGTAGAGGCCTGTCATCCAAACTATTTGGGAGACTGAGGAAGGACATGGAAAGTTCAAAGCCAGCCTGAACTATAGAGTGAGTTCAAGGCCAGCTTGTATAACTTAATGAGACTGTCTCAAGACAGAATGAAAAGGGCTGGGAACCATGTATAAAAGCATGTTGGGAAAGAGCTGAAGCACATTTAAAGCCAGCCTGATTACACAGCTAGACCCTGGCTCAGAAAAAAAAAAAAAATTAAGCAAACAAAACCCCTCAGGCCTGGAAGGATGGCTCAGCAATTAAGAGTACTGACTGCTCTTGTAGATATAGTGGAACTTGGTTCCACTTCCAGCAACCCCTATATGACTCAAAACTGCCTGCAGCTCCTGTACTAGCAAGCAAACATAACTTAAATAAATAAAAGTAATTTTAAAAATAGCCTTTAGTCCCAGCATTCGGAGGCAGAGGCAAGGGGATCTCTGTAAGTTAGCATGGTTTACCAGGTAAATTCCAGGACAGCCAAGGCTACACAAAGAAACCCTGTCTCAAAAACCAAACAAATAAAAAACCCACAGATATAGGCTGGTTGGGTTGCTCAGTGGATAAAGGGGTTTGCAGCCAAGCCTGATGACCTGAATCCATCCCTAGCACCAATGTGGAAGAAGAGAACTGACTCCCAAAAGTTGTCCTCTGACTTCCATACACATACACACTAACACACACACAGCACACAATAAAGACTAAGAAGGGATTATTTGTGCTTTCTTATAATCAACATACATCCTCATATAAAAATTTTATTTTTATTACATTTATTTCAGGGATACCTGTATGTGTGTGTTTGTGTGTGTGTGCAGGTCAGAGGACAACTTGCAGTTGTTTCTTTCCATTGTGTATGTTCCAAGGTTCAAAGAGGTTATCAGGCTTGGCAATAAGTCCCTTTACCCACTGAGTGGGATTCTGTTAACACTACTGTTTTTTGTTTGGTTGGTTGGTTTGGTTTGGTTTTTGGAGGCAGGGTTTCTCTGAGGCTTTGGAGGCTGTCCTGGAACTCACTCTGTAGACCATGCTTGACTGGAACTCACAGAGATCCACCTGCCTCTGCCTCTCAAGTGCTGGGACTAAAGGCGTGCGCCACCAATGCCCGGCAACACTACTGTTTTTTGAAACAGGATTTCATATAGCCTAGCCTAGCCTTGAACTTCTAATCTTGCCACCTGCACCTCTACGAAGCTGGAATTATCTGTGTGCACCACCACATCCAGCTAATTTTTATTCAATTACTTGTTTGTTTGTTTGTTTTTTCTTTATTTTTTCGACAAGGTCTCATTATGTATGTAGACTAGGTTGGCCCAGAATTTCACCACTGCAGTCAGCTCTTTAAGACTAGAATAACAGGAATGTAGCATACCTGACTAAATACAATATTAAATATTTTATTGCTGCTAGTGGGATAGAAAGCCAGGACTTTGACATCAGATGCCTCCTGAGGGGTTGCCTGTTAATCTTGATAATGAATTTTAGTTTGGAGCTGGGGCTTACTGGATTGAGTGCTTGCCTAGCATACACAAATACCTGGGATACTTGAGAGACCATTACCTCCAGCCAAGCATGATGCCATACACCTGCAATCACAGCACTCAGGAGGCTGAACAAGTTCCAGGCCAGCCTTGATTATATAGAGAGGCCCTGTGTTTTGTTTTGTTTTCCGAGACAGGGTTTCTCTGTATTGTTTTGGAGCCTGACCTGGAACTCTCTCTCTGTAGACCATGCTGACCTGGAACTTAAAGAGATTCACCTGCCTCTACCACCCAAGTGCTGGGACTAAAGGCAAGCACCATCACTGCCTGGCCAGAGAGCCTGTCTTAACAAGAAAAACAAGAGAGAATGCAGGTCTGTCAGTGCAGTCACACCAGAGGCTGAAGCAGGGCAGTTTACTAAGACCTTTTCTCAAAAGTAAAGGAGAGGCTGGGCGGTGGCACACACCTTTAATCCCAGTACTCTGGAGGCAGAGGCAGGGGGATCTATGAGAGTTTGAGGCCAGCCAGGTCTACAAAACGAGTTCCAGGACAGCCAGGATTGTTACACAGGGAAACCCTGTCTCAGAAAAAAAAGTAGAGAATTTGTTAATTTTTTTATTTTTCCTGTGACAATGTTACTTTTAAGTTTATTTTATTATGATTTAATATATCCATAAATAAATAAGTATATAAAATTCTTTGATTTTAAAAGAAGGTAGAGAGGGATGGAAGTATTCTCCCCAATGCTATGTCTTATCCTTTTGCAGCTTGCCTGGCAGAAGTTGTTTACAAAAGCCCCCTGCAAGCCCTTCCAAGGCCCTTGTCAGCCCAGGAGGTAGCAAGGCGCTCGGTGAGATATAAAGACACAAGCTAGGAATATCTTGAGGTGCCATTTTCACATCCTCTCTGCCTTTCTCCATCCTTCATCCCAATTCCTCATTTAGACCTGCTCAGAGGATCCCCCCCCAGCACTGAGTCACCCCCACCCCCAGCTTCCTCCTCATCAGAGACTCTTGCCATCTGACTCACCGTCTGTCCCGGTGCCCAGCTCTCCCACTGTCTTCTGTCCAGAGAAACCCAGGCACACCCAGAGCTACTGAAGCCTTAAGAGACCATCCCTGGATTTCTCCACCCAACATAGGTCTCTGAAATTGACTTCTGGCCTTTGACCTTGTGCCTTTTGATTCTGACACTGTAGGGCCCCGGCGCTGTGCTTCTTGTAGGACCCAGAGAACCCCACTTTGGAGAGATGCTGAAGATGGGACCCCTCTCTGCAATGCCTGTGGCATCAGGTCCTCAACCCAGAGGTGTTGGGGATGGGCCAATCAAACCTGATTCAGGTGGTGGGGGAACTAGGGAAAGAAAAACCGCCACCTGTTGAGGAAAATGGTTTCCGAAATGGTGGTTTCTTATATCCTACCCCCTCACTCTCACCTCCAGGTACAAGAAATATGGCATTCGCTGTTCCAGTTGCTGGCTGGTTCCAAGGAAAAGTGTCCAACCAAAGAGGTTGTGTGGCAGATGTGGGATGTCCCACCTAAACCCAACTCAGGAACTGTAAGCCCTTCTTTATCCAGCCAAGTCAGTTTTGCCTCAGTTTCTCCAAGGGAGAATAGGGAGATTAGAATACTTGGAAGCACCCAGCTGCCTTACTGGTAGCAATCTCAATTAGAGAGACACACCTCAGGTCCAGAGTCTACCTGTGGGTGTCACCCACACTTTGGCTTCCCCCTTTTCTACTCAGTCTTGGCTGAACCCCAAATAAAAGGAAATAATTTCAGAAATGATTATTTTTAATTATGTTTTACTTTAGATTTTCTTTTACATTTGTGTGTATGTATGTGCATGCAGGTATGATATGGTTTCAGAAAACAGAAGACAACTTTTAGGAGTTGGTTCTCACCTCCCAAAGCTATGTGAATTGTGGGAATTGAACTCAGGTCATCAGGTTTCCATACAAACATCTTTTCCTGCTGGGCAGTACAACCAACCCTAGGCAATTCTCACTATTGCTGTTAACACTATGTTGAAGGTTGAGCTACTCAAGAGCTCTGGATCCCACCCTAGGTACCCTGCATAACACACACACACACACACACACACACACACACACACACACACACACACACACACACACACACACGCCAGCCTGAGAAGGTAACAGGTGTTTACTCTTCCGTGGTGGTAAAAAAAAAAAAAAAAAAAAAAAAAAATCATGGATTGTAGCCAGAATGGTGGCGCTCTTTAATCCCAGCACTCTGGAGGCAGAGGCAGGCAGATCTCTATGAATTCAAAGCCAGTGTTGTCTACAGAGTGAGGTCCAGGCCAAACAGGACTGTTTGAAAACTAAAATGAATGCAAACCTACAAATTTCTGAGAAGTGCACTGATCGCTGGTGGAGAGATGGAGGTGCATGCATGCAATCCCAGCTCTTTGAGGCTGAGGCAGGATGGATTAAGTCCAGGAGTTTGAGACCAGCTTGGTCAACAGCAAGATTATGTTAAGAATGGAAAGAAATCGGGAGGGTGGTGGTGCATGACTTTAATCCCAGCACTTGGGAGGCAGAGGCAGGCAGAGCTCTGTGAGTTGGAGGGCAGTGTGGTGTACAGTGTGAGTTACAGGACAGCTAGGGCTACACAGATAAACCTTTCTGTCTTAGGGGAAAAAAAAAAAAAAGGTTTCAAGTCTCTTCTGAGACTCACAGTAATCTCTTAACTGTAACCCTGTGAAATCAAAAAGCAGATCACATACTTCCAACATACAATGGCACAGGGTATACATTCATTACCATTCCAAAACAGCGGAAAGGGAGCACAATGAGGAAATACAGGACCAGAAACCAGCTGGGCAAACTCCAAACTCTGAATCTCCATGTCTGATGTCAAAGTGCTCCTCACATCCCCAGCTCCTTTCCTTGACTACAGCACACTTCTTTCTCTTGGGCTGGTTCCACTCCCGTTATCGGCTGTCCTCCTAGGCAGGTGTCCCACAGCTCCAGCAGCTCTTACATTTTGGCGTCTCCAAGGCAACCCAGGCTCCACCCTCACAGCTTCATGAAATGGCTTGTCCAGGCCTCCATGCAGGGACACCCCTGACACATGCCTGGCCTCAGCAGCTTTCCTCTTTCCTTAGTCAATTGGGGGGGGGGGTGGAGCAGGGTGTTTCCACAACTCCATTCTTGCATCCTTACTCTTAAGCCGGAACCTAGTAGCCAAGGCTGCTAAGTTTTCCTCTTTGCTGAGGCTGGAATATGGCCCTCTCTTTCAAATACATTTTCACAAGCTTTCTGTTTTGATGGTTTTCTTCACTACCTAGGCTTGGCTGTCCTGGAACTCACTCTGTAGCCTAGGCTTGCCTCAAACTCAGAGATCCACTCACCTCTGCTTTCCCAGCGCTGGGGTTACAAGCATGTGCCACCACACCTGGCCTGAAGCTTTTCTTTAGTTCCTTTTCACAAATTAGAAATTTAGCTGGGGAGGGTCTTGCCCTGAGGTGACCACTCCCTTTATTCCACCTAGCTAGCCTTTTCTTTAATCTAGTTACACTTCCTGGCTCCCCTTTTCTCCCCAAACTGTATGTACATTTTATATTTTTCCTTGTGCTTGGACTGCTCCCTTCCATTATAGATCTGCATAAAACTGGCCACTAATAACCACACAACACAGTCCAGATTGGGCTGTTTTGAAATCTCCTCTGCCAAAGTAATTAATCCTAAACTCTTCAATTTAGCCTCAGGCAGACTTTTCAGACAAGGGTTTCCTTCAAAACAGCCAGTCTTCACCAAAATATCACAAGAACTGGCTCAAGGCCACACAGAAATATTGTCTGAAATTTTGTGAGCTGAATCCCTACAGTTCATATTATCCTCAGTACCATTGACTCCTGTGCTCCTAGGATGCCTCATTAAGCCATACTTAAAATGTCCAATCACCTTTCTAGTCCAGAGTCCTAAAGTGGTTTCATATTCCTCCAAACAAAAACATGGCCCAGCCTATCACAGTAACACCCCACTCCTGGTACCAGCTTCTGTCTTAGGATATTATTAACTGTGAAGAGAAGAGACACAATGACCACAGAAACTCTTATAAGAAAAACATTTAACTGGGGCTGGCTTACATTCAAAGATCTAGTCCATTATCATCGTGGCTTAAAGTATGTCAGCACACAGGCAGACATGGGCTGGAGAAGGAGCCAAGAGTTCTTTATCTGTATCTGAAGGAAGCAAGAAAAGAGAAACACTGAGCCTGACTTGAGCATTTGAAATCTCAAAGCCCATCTTCAGTGACACACTTACTCTATATGGGCATGTGGGTGTACCTGTGGGTACATAATAAAAATTACATTTAAACTTTGGATGGCTCAACAGTTAAAGAGCATTTGTAGTAGTATTTAAGTGGCTCACAACTGCCTGTAACTCTAGTTTCAAGGGAATCTTATGCCCCCTTTTGTTGTGGTTTAATAAGGATCAGAAAAACAGACTGAAAAGATGTTTATTCAGGGAGAAATAACTTACAACAGAGACAGATGAACACCAGCAGGTTCCTGATCCTAAGGATGCCTCCGGATGCTCTCTGTCCCTATCCAGCAAGCAAGAGAGCTCTCAGGGGCCCCTTCCCCAGATCTTGCTCCCCCAGGTCATGTCTGCCCTGTCCCTACCCCCCATGGGCATGGTCAGAGCCACAGGTGCGGACAAAGTGAATATCTCACTACACCCTTTTGACTAACACATATACCCATGTGATAGCTAGTATTATGTCTACCAAAACCGGGAGCCTCATCTGAGAAAAATGCCTCTGTAAGATCCAGCTGCAAGGCATTTTCTTAATTAGTGATTGATGGGGTAGAACCCAGCCCATTGAGGGTGGTGCCATTCCTGGGCTAGTAGCCCTGGGTTTTACAACAAAGCAGGCTGAAGCGAGGCAGTGATGGCACATACCTTTAATCGCAGAACTCAGAAGGCAAATCTCTGTAAGTTTGAGGTCAGCTTGGTCTACAGAGCAAGTTCCAAGGTTATACAAAAAAAAAAAAAAACCTCTTGTCTCAGAAAGAGAAAGAGAGAGAGAGAGAGAGAGAGAAGCAAGCCACTAACTAAACAGTACCTCTCCATGGCCTGTGCATCAGGTCCTGCCTCCAGGATCCAGTCCTGTTTGAGTTCTTGTTCTGACTTCCTTCAATGATGGACTACAATTTGGAAGTGTAAGCCAAATAAACTACTTTTTTTTTTTTTTTTTTTTTTTTTTTGGTTTTTTGAGACAGGGTTTCACTGTAGCTTTGGAGCCTGTCTCGGAATTAACTCTGTAGACCAGGCTGGCCTTGAACTCACAGAGATCCACCTGCCTCTCCCTCCCGAGTGCTGGGACCCAACTTGTTTTTGATCATGGTGTTTCATCGTAGCAATAATAACCCCAACTAAGGCATACCCCCATGCTTGTGACATACATTTGCATATATGTATGCATATAAAATAAATCTTGAACAAAACCAATTCTAATTCAGTTGAAATGTTTTGAGACCAGAGCTCTGGATTCCCTGCACTCAAGCTTAACATCCAGAGGAATATAGCCCCAGGTTTAGCTACACCGGCACTTAAGAGGCTGCTATAGTTATGGTACAAGGAATGAGGGTACTGTTTACGCCAGTGTCAGTGTTTGCCATGGTTCATGGGATGCTGGTTTGAACAGCATACACACAGCAAAGACTATAGCATCACAGAGGAAAACCTGGGAATCAGTGTGGTCTATAGAAGACAGATTGCAGTTGGGGGATCTCTGAGAGGGTCCTGTGTGAAGCTGGGGGAGGGAAGCCAAGGCTGCAGTAGAGCCACCCAGGGTGTTGGGTGATGCCAAGATCATGGAGAGTAGGTCTACCAAGAAAAGCTACAGTCACCTAAGGATATAGCCCAAGAGAGTGGCTACATGGAATGAAAGTGACAAAGGCCTTGGGCACTCATGGAAAGCCACCATGCTCCTAAACACCAGGCGTGAACAGACTTTAATGTCCACCCTGCTTGGTCTGTCTCACTTGCTCTTATCATCTCTATCTTCCTACTCCTCCCTGGATTTGTCTTCTTATTGTTGTTTTTGAGACAGGGTGTCTCTACATAGCCCTAGATTTCTAGGAACTCACTATAGGCCAGGCTGGCTTCAAACTCTGAGACCATCTGATTTTGCCTTCCAAATGCTGGAATCAATGTGCACCACCATGCCAAGCTACTCATCTGTGTATGTGTTTCTGCACACAGGAGCCTGTGGCAGGTCAGGAAGAGTACCAGTATTGGATCATCTAGAACTGGAGTTTCTTAACCAGGGGCCTCTGCAAGAGCAGCAAGGTGCTCTCAACCATTGAGACATAGCTCCAGCCCCTTCCCTTTATTTTTTGAGATGAAATTTTTCACTGAACTTGGAACTCAGTGTTTGAGTAGGCTGCCTGTCTAATGAATCTTTCAGTCTCTGCTTCCCCAGCACTGAGATTACAGGCAGACTCATCCATGCTGGGCCTTTATGTGGTACTGGGGATGTAACTCGTAACTCAGGTGTGTCCTTCTTTGCTCCTTCCTTCCTTCCCTTCCTCCCTCCCTCTCTTCTTCCCTCCTTCCTTCAGCCTGCAGAAAACCCAACAGGTTGGGTGGAAAGTGTCCTTTCTAGGTACCTCGGTTGGTCTAAACCTCTTCCAGGTAGCTTGGCTGGTTTCTACATCTTTTGGAAAGCCATCTGGTCAGACTCATCTTTGCAGCATGGCTCTGCTTACTGTGGCCAAGAGGAGCCTACTGAATCCGGTTAGTTTCAGT